AATATTACTGATTATCTCAAAATTTTGCTTATGAAACTGCTTTTTGAATTCTAACAAAAAAAAATTCTTGTAAAATTTTGATATAGAGCTATAACCCATTCAAATCTTAAATATACCCTTACCCTAACCCGAAGTAGGGGCTTAATTTTTTGTTTATAAAAGTTGTTTTGATTAGTATATTATATGGATTTACAAATTAATAACTGTATTCAAACACACTGTGTACAAATAGTAATTTTCTTTATTTAAATATTTTAAATATTAAAAAAAATAAATCAGAGCTAATTTTATAGTATCTAAGCAGGCAAATTTGTCTGCTAAAGTCTACAAATTAAGAGATAATAAAAAAAAATTTTTTTAAAAGAAATAGAAGAAAAAAGGTCTATTTATCTAGAAATCATCGAACCAAGGGCTCACGAATCGAATTATATGTCTGGAAGATTTATATTCTGTTCTCTAAGAAGACTTGAGCTTCCAAATTCTAGTTCTGGTGCTAATTAATCTAGAAGAAAAAGAATAATTAGTAACCTGCCCAAGACTAAAAACAAAAATAAGGAAAAAAAAATAGAAAATAAAGCCTATACTTATCTTACAACTATCTGGCTATGCGAATCCAAGTTCCAATACAAGATCGAAAGCCTATATTCCAGAAAACTCAACTCTTTTTAAATCTTGATTCCAGTATTAATGAACCTAGAAGAAAGAAAGAAATAATTAGTACAATGCTTAAGAATAATAAAAAAAAAAAAGAAACAAAAAAGAAAAAAAAAAACTACTTATCACATATCTTACGATGCTAATCCAAGTTCTAGACTTCATCTCAAGCTGAAGTCCTATATTCTGCCTAATTCAAGCCAATTCAAACTAAAATTTCATATTCTTGAAAGAATCAAAATCTAGGAAGAAGAAGTTTGAGAAATGCCAAAATAATATAAAAAAAAAAAAACAAAAAAAAAACAAAAAAAAAACAAAAAAAAGTTATTTACCAGAAAAGGCCTATAAATCTTGGCTCTCAAGTAGTCAGAAAAGTAGTTTGCCAAGATTCTCCACGCCTGATACAAAAAAAAATGATTCAGAAGAAATTTTTGACAACACAAAGATTCGGAAAGCTAAAACTACAAGAAGAAAATTTGTAAATAGGAAGAGATATGAAAAAAAAAAAGGAACACAGAAGTAAAAAAAAAAGACTACTTGATCTGGAAGAATGAGAAAAACATTACAAAAAAACCATAGAAGAACAAAGCTAAGTGTAAAAGATTTTAAATCAGTAGATAATCAACCAATAGCTAATATGACAATCACATAGATGATATCACATAGAAGGCAAAATGAAAAAAGTACATATCTGACCATTATACTACCTCTGAAACAAATTTAGAAGTTAACCTGATTCTCGTAAAGCCTAAAAGAATCTATAATGAAATACTATAAAGAAGAGAAGTCCTAAATAAATAAATTAGTAAAAATAATATAACAGAAAAAGATGTATAGAGATCAAAAATACTTATTTGTTATACCCTAAATCTCAATGTGAGGTCGAATAATGATGATAAAAAAAAAAAATTTTTTTATTTAGTTTTTTTGTTATAGAATTATAGTTCTTTTTAGATTTTAGCGAATTGTAATTTTTAAGAAGAAAAAATAAGCTTTTTTTAAGAGAATTATTTGTTGAAGTTGAAAGGAGAAATATTAGTGGATTGGAGGATTTGGGGTTGTTAGATTGAAGTTTATAGCAAATTGAGTTTAAAGTTTAAAAGTTTATAGCAAATTTTAGTTTTGAGTTTAAGTTTATAGTTAATTTATAGTTTTGTTTGTGTATTTATAGTTGTAGAATATAATGATAGAGCCTAGTCTGGTGAGAACTAAGACCTATGCAAAAGTAAAGTTTGGCTATAGGTTAGCCAAGAGTAATAAGAACAAAATTGTGGCTGAGTTTTTGGTTACAGATTATCCAAAATATAAAACCCCTGAATTAAGTTAGAATTTTAGTTTATATATAGAGTTCTGGTTATGGGTATACCAAGAAACCTAAAACTTTTAAATAGAATTAGTTTATTTTTTATATAAAAGTTTAGTATAGAATTTAAATACATATAGAAAATAGAGTTTTAGATAAAATTTTTATAAAGTCACTAGTTGACTAGCTCAGAAGACCTCATATCTTAAAGAAAAGTGATATATAATATAATTATAAGATCAGCCATAGTAAATATTACATACTATAATGATCATATGACTGTGATACTCTATAATGATCACATGATACTGACAGACTCTTTAAACAATGATTACAAGGGTTATTTTTATTTGTTCTATTCTTTTGTTATTATATTTTATTATATTTATTTATTTATTTATTCATATTATTAACTATCATGCATAGTATCATTATATATATGATCATTATACATAGCATCGTTAGAATAGTAATTAATATATAATAGGTTTGTAATAAGAAGGAATTATAGTTTTAGAAAAAATAGTCTAAAAAGTAGATAGTTAGTAAATTAGCTTTTGTAGAAGTATAAAAATATCTTGTAAAAAACTTGTAAAAGGTATCGTCCACTGCCTTAAGTCCTATTTTATACAAATAAAACCCTTTTCGTCTTGAATTTCTCCTAACAAAAATCTAAACTCATCCTATAACTGAATATTTTAGTTATAATATAATAGATATAAAATTATCATAGATATATTTTATAATAATTGAATAGTTATCTATATATTTACTTTAGATTATTTTAGTTAAATAAAGTATTTTAAAAACTATCAATCAGAATCATATAATTTTAGTACTATTTAATTTATTTTAATAAAATGAATCAAATAAGATAAAAAAACTTTTTTCATAAATCTTTTATATAAAAATTAAACTTAAAATTCATCTATATTAAAATTTAAATAATTCAAAATTTTATTAAGAAAACTTACTCTGTATCTTAAATAAACTTGTTTGTTTTACAATTTTACATATATTTTAAAAATTTTAAATTTATATCTTTTAAACTCGTAGTTTAAAAAATCACAATTATAGACTTTGAATATCTAAATTAAATTTTTAATTATTTTTTATAAATAGTTCTTACAACCTACTTTACACTTATAACAAAAATTGTAGAGCTTATTTTTCTAGTTAAAATAAGTTCTAAATAAAGCCTATAAATCTTATATTAATTTAAATATAGCTAAAAATAACTTTTATTCTTTTATAACTTCTTTTTTTAAAATTTTCTTCTTTATTTCTAAAATTTTTTTATACATATTTTTTGTATAACTATCTATTATTTTCTTAACTAGTCTAACTATCATACAAACCAATTTTATCTTATAAAACACTTGTACAAACATATACTGTATACCAATTTAATACAAACTTATTATTTACTAAATAGTATATAACTGTATTACACAATTACAAATTATTGCAAATTTTTATTTTATAACAAGCCAATCTATTTTTACTTGAAACAAAATTAAAAATATCAAATTTTTATTATATTTAACATAAATTTTACTATCTATATTATTTAAATTGCTACAATTAACTTTACTTTAAATTACTAATTATTTATATTGATTTTATTTTATATTTATTTATATACTTATCAACTAATCTACTAATAAACAAATATATACTACTATTATTCTTTTTTCTTTTATTATATCATATAATTATTATACTTATTATCATATTCTTTATATCACATTTTCTTACTTTATAACAAGCTAATCTATTTTTACTTGAAACAAAATTAAAAATATCAAATTTTTATTATATTTAACATAAATTTTACTATCTATATTATTTAAATTGCTACAATTAACTTTATTTTAAATTACTAATTATTTATATTGATTTTATTTTATATTTATTTATATACTTATTAACTAATCTACTAATAAACAAATATATATTACTATTATTCTTTTTTCTTTTATTATATTATATAATTATTACACTTATTATCATATTCTTTATATCACATTTTCTTACTTATCACCTCTTTAATATTATATTTTCTACAAACTTTTTTTTTTATATTTATAATTTGTTTAAAAAATTAGCTATATCTCAAGTTTTTACTAAATAAATCTTACTTAACTATTTAATAAGATTTGTTTTTAAGACTAATATATATATAATACAAAAATTTTAGAATTATATCTCTTAAACTCATCAAGATAATCAACAAAAAGTCTTAAATTTCATCTATAATTTATCTAACAAAAATTGACTATATCTTAAAATTTTACTAAGTATATTATATTTGATATTATAATAAGATTTGTTTTTAAAACTAAAATATATATAATATTAAAATCTTAAAATTGTATTTCTTAAACTTATTAAAATAATTAACAAAAAATTTTATATAATCTAAATTAATTCTTAAATTCTGTCTATATTTGTCTAATAAAAATTAGCTATATTTTAAAATTTTATTAAGCAAATCCATATCCACCAATTTGATTTTTAGGAGTCTTTTTTCGATAAACTGTTACACAAACTTTGCTATTTAGTGATATGAAATAACAAACAAAACATTCATTAAAAATATTTTTTAGCCTTTATATAAGATAAATAAGCAATAAATACTAAAAAAACTAGCTATTCTAAGCTATAACAAAAGTACTATCACTAGTGATGAATCGGTCCGTCCTGGTCTATCTCAGTTCCTGTAGGACCGATTTAATAGTGTTAATCAGTCCGGTCCATCTGTCTTTCGGTTTTAAAATTGGTCTTACGATAAAAATTTTTTTAATATTTATTGTAAATATTTAGACTACAAAATACATACATTCTTATTATTATATTTTTATTAATGCGACATATATATATATATAAATATATATTAAATATTTATTGTAAATGTACTATTGTTTTTTTATACGAAGCAAATTTAATAAAGCAAATTTAATAAAACTAATTTGATGAAGCTAATAACTAATTTAATGTAAAGTGTAATAATTTAATGCAATAATATAATTACAATAGTTTTCTAATTGTCCAAAGTGCAAATTTCTTTTTGAAGCCAACTCTTTAGGCACAGAATTGCCCTGGCAGATTTATCATCTAATCTATTTCTTTTGTTTGAAATAGTCAGACCGGCTACAGAGAATGCCTGTTCTGAAGCCATGCTGGTAGCTTGTATGGACAAATAGTCCCTTGCAATTAAACTTAAAGCAGGATAATCCTTTTGCACTTGCCACCATACTAACAGATTCGAATTATCTTCCAAAGGCAATAGTAAATACTTTTCTAGTTCATTTCGTAGATTATTTGATGATGCATTTGCTAATAATATACAAGAATCAGAAGAAGCATTAAATGTAGTGATGCTAGATGAGGTAGATGGAATAAAAGAAGTAGGATAAGTTGGTTAGGTGAATGAAATAGAAGGACCAAAAGAAATAGGATAGGCAGAAGGAACAGAATATGTGGAAAAGGTATTAGAAGTGACTGTGTTGTTATTTTGTAATAACTGGAAATAGCTTCGTGCATTAATAAAATCATCTACTGAAGTAATTACTGGTGATTGTGATTTCAATCTATATCCCGGAAGATTTAGAATTAGTTGCTTTACTCAGTTTTTTTCTATTTCATTGCTAAATGTGGATAATTTTACACTCAGATCCAATAAAGATGAGACTTGTGATGCTTTATCCATAATTGGCCAATATTCTTTTAATTTCTTGTAAATTGCATTTGCTATTTTAGGCTATATAAATCTTTCTATATTTGAATATCGAATCAAATGTTCTTGAATTTTAAGAAAAACAAACCGAACAGCCTCATGTGTTGAATATCAGGATGCTGAAAGATAACAAGTTGCATGTTCGAATAGTTTTAAAAGAAGTATTGTATCATTGATATTGATACAATCTTCTTTACTAGGATACCATTGGTTAATTAATAAATTATCAGTAGAGAGTAATTTTAACGCAGGCTCTATTTTTTTCCATTTTTCCAACATATAATAAACAGAGTTTCATCGTGTCTTCACATCCAATTCTGGGGCTAAGTATTTTAAATTTTTTGCCTTACACAAACATTTTAAATCATCACTTATTGGTTGAGAAGATTTAATGTACTCATCAATAACCTAATTTTTTCAATAGATGGATCAACTAATTCAATTCCTTTTATAACCGCCAGATTTAATACGTGGGCAAAGCAGCGATAGTGAGCAAAGTTTAAATTATTGAACTCCTTTTCGAATTTTGCTGTCATTAAAGCACCACAAGAGATCATCGAGGAGGCATTGTCTGTTGTTAATGCTAGAGCCTTAGCGGTTAAATTAAATTCATCAAGTACTGATATAATGGCATTAGCCATATTAAGTCCAGTATATCGCACCGTTATAGGAATTATGTCAAGAAGGAAATTTTTAAGTACCCAAGAAGAATCAATGTAATGAATTGTTAAGCTTAAAAAAGCTGATTTATTTGATGCCGTCCACATATCAGCCGTAAAAGAAACTTTTCCAGGAATTTTACTAACCAACAATTTCATACTTTCTTTTTGTTCTTGATAAAGTGCTATTACATGATTGCTTATAGTGTGTCGATTACAGAATATATATTTTGGATCAAATTTAGAGATCATTAAGCACCATTTTTCACTTTCTACAGTATCAAAAAACTCTAAATCACAAATTATCCATCTAAGAACAACTTTATCTCATTCTTGTTGTTCATATTCTGTATGTGGATTATTAGGTTGTCTATTTATAAAAATAATATTTAATTTTAACATTAGTT